GGCAAGGATGAGGGGGGTCAGGGAGGGATGGATTAGGAGTTTGGGATTAGCAAATGCAAACTATTATATACAGGATGGATAAACAACAAGGTTCTACTGTGTAGCACAGGGAACAATATTAAACATCCTGTGATAAACCATAATGGAATAGGATATGAAAAAGAATGTATATATACATCTGAATCATTTTGCTGTATAGCAGAAATTAATACAACATTATAAATCAACTATACTTCAATAAAACAAATCTTTACAAAATAAAAAAAATTTCAAAAAGAACTTTACAACTAAAAGAGCATGTGGGGCTTCCCTGGTGGCGCAGTTGTTGAGAGTCCGCCTGCTGATGCAGGGGACATGGGTTTGCGCCCCGGTCCGGGAAGATCCCACATGCCGCGGAGCGGCTGGGCCCATGAGCCATGGCCGCTGAGCCTGCGCGTCCAGAGCCTGTGCTCCACAACGGGAGAGGCCACAACAGTGAGAGGCCCGCGTACCGCAAAAAAAAAAAAAAAAAAGGGCATGTGTAGGGTGCATCACATATTAGGACGCGTGACAGAAACTCTGGTGCTCACCCATACCTAGTTCTCCTCTCTTTGGGGGCATGTGGGTGGGTTTCATGTTCTTGCTCTCCTGGCGGTTGGGCAGACCATGTGCTTAGTGCTGGTGAATGGGCTGTAACTGAGGTGTCATTCACCAGGGCTGAAAGTTTATTTGCTGGGGTGAGAAACTTCAGCCCTCTTTTCTCCTACCATGATGATCTTGGAAGCCTGTGTGGGGAGAGTCATAAGAGTATCTGGTACCCCTGAGCCACCACATGGAGGACAGCTGCCCAGAGAGTTTTCTAGATTCAAAGTGGACTTTGTGTGAGTGAGAAGGAAATGTTTATTGTTAAGCCCCTGAGATATTCATGTTGTTATTGCAGCTTCACCTAGCTTATCCTAACTGGCACAGTGTGGGCTTTTAGCTTGCTATAGCTAGAGTCAATGCTCACAATGAACTGAAATCACACAGAATATTAGAAGTTAAAATCTCAGCCACCATCCCACAGCGTTCATAAAGAATAATCAAAATATAAGTTGCCATCATTAATAATTACTCCCACAAGGTAAGCAGGAAGGCACTGATTTCCATCTGAGTTAGTGGCATCTCTGTTGGTGGGAATGGAAGGAAGGTACCAATTTTAGTGACTCTGAGGAATAAAGAATCTAAGTTTGTTGTGCCATAATTAAAATTTTGTTTTGTTTAGCAATAGACTCATGAAATGACTTAAAAACAAGTCTTGGACTTCCCTGGTGGTGCAGTGGTTAAGAATCTGCCTGCCAGTGCAGGGGACAGGGGTTCCAGCCCTAGTCCAGGAAGATCCCACATGCGGATCTTAGTTGCAGAGCAACTAAGCCCGTGCGCCACAACTACTGAGCTTGCGCTCTACAGCCCCCAAGCCACAACTACTGAGCCCACGTGCCTATAGCCCATGCTGCGCAACAAGAGAAGACACCGCAATGAGAAGCCTGAGTGCCGCAATGAAGAGTAGCCCCCACTCGCCACAACTAGAGAAAGCCCGCACGCAGCAACAAAGACCCTGTGCAGCCAAAAATAAATAAATTTATTATTTTTTAAAGTCTTAAATTGTGTTGTAACTTTTGAATCATTACTTCCCCCTCCTTTTCCCCCCTACCTTTTCCTTGTATAGTGCATTACAAAAGTTTTCTATCCTCGGCTCAAGAAGATAGAACTGTGGATCAGTCAGGATGTTTTTGGCTGCAAGTAGCAAAAAAAACCCCAACCCAAACTAGCTGAAATAGTCAGGATGTGGATTATCTCACATTACTGAGGTCCTGGGGGCTTTGTGGGGCTCCGGGCTAGCCCATCCAGCAGCTCAATCATGTTATCAAGGACTCAGATTATTTTCCAAAGCTGATAGCGAGGTAGTTCAGCAGATCCAGACACCACATCCATACAGGATGACGTCCAGAAGAGATCATCTCAGCTTGTGTTTCTCATTTAAGAGAGGAAACATTTCCCAGAAGCTACTTCTTATTGGCCAGAAGTGGTTACATGCCCAATCCTGAAGCTATCACTGGTGAGAAGGATAAAATCGTCATGATTGGTTGAGAACAATTAGGCCAGGTTTAAGAAGGTGAGCATTTGGGTGGATTATCTCTATTTCCATTTTGCAGTCACAGAAACAGACGTTCTGGGTCATTTTTTCTTTTGATTCTTCTGAGTCGATCCCTTGTGTCTTAATTCTTCTACCACTACCAAGGTCAAGATTTTGCAATAACTTCCCATCTGTCTGCTCTGGCTCATCTTGTTTTCCTCCAGTCCACTGTACACATCTCCTGCTGGATGAAGGTTCTTAAAACCTGCTTCTCATGTTGTCACATCTTTATCTAATTACATCAAGTGTCTCTCTCTTGCCATTGGTTTTAGACGCAGACTTCTCTGGGTGCTTCTACCTGTCTGGGTGGTTTAATCACATGGATTCCATCCACCACTAATAGGCAACCCACATGGCTTCCCTCACCGAACACATCATTCCCTGCTTCCGTACTTCTGTGTTGTATCTGCCATCTTGAACATCCTATTTCACTGTCTCTGTCTGTCTGAACCCTTCGCTTTCTTTAACCATCTCAGACTCACCTTCTTCATGAAGGTTTTCTTGGTTAACTCCAGCCCATGCTGGCGTCTCCTCCCTGAATTCTTATTTCAGGGACAGCCAACACCGTAACTGATTCTTAGTATGTGTTGAGCTGCTCTCCCCAAATAAGTGAAGCATGTCCTGAGAGCAGGGACTATTGTTCTGCTTCGTTTCTGTCCCACACCATCTTTGCACATTTGTCACACCTGATGGATCCTTCAATCAGCAAGCAATGACTGAGACCCTCCCCTCATGGCTACACTGTGACATTAGCACAGATGGAATCCAACAACCTGATCCTATTGGAAAAATTAACATCATATGCACGTTTTGCTACTCATCTGGGACAGAGAGAGGTCCCCTCCGAGTAAGTTAAGCTTAGAAACAGGACTGGGAGTTGAGTTTTGTATCTGGATGTTTCTAGCCCACTTTTGATAACTCAAACCTGTATACCTGTTGAGAAGGCCATGCTTTTGGAACTGCATTCCAGAAAAAACCCAGAAGGTTGACAAACATTTGGTTTAGCCTCTTCAGCAACAGAGTTCCAGTCATGCATACGTACGTTTGTATGTACCATCTTTTGTTTATAAAAAAAGACTTGAACCTCAATTCTTTTTGTTTTTTAACGGGGAAATGTTCGTAGACACGTTCATATCCACTTGCTCTTTCCCCTTGCCAACAGTAATACGCATTTGGTGGTCTGGACGAGGCCCGCAAACAAGCACCATTGAACAGAGAGAAGGAAAGTGTCCCTTAGAGGAATCGGATTGCTCCCCTACTCTGTGCTATGTGCACCAGACCCTGTAAGGCCCTCTGGGCACTGGGCTGCTTGTGCTGTATGTAACTGTGTGTGATGGGAATTAACACCTAATTCTATGTCCCAGCTTTATTGCTGAGGTCCTTAATGAGTCAGTATAATTAAGCACCGTTTGCCTGGTTAGTTAGTTCAGGTGTCTAAATCTGTCACAATAAACTAGGTGATGTTAAACATGTTTGGATTAGAACCAGCTGGAGCCAATGCCAATGCAGACAGCTATATTAATCACATGGGAGGTTATCTTATTTGAGATTTTCTATGCACCTCTGAGTTAGTGTTTCATCCATCAAGGGCTTGCTGAAGACATCTGTAAACTTTGATTTATTGCACTGTTCCTGGTACAGAATTAAATAGCATTATACTCAAATATATTGGCTTAATTGACAGGTAGAGATTTAATCCTGTTAATTACCTAGCCGGCTTGAAAGCTTCCATTAACCTCTTGCTGAATCGGCGAGATTTAGAAGAGGTATCTCAGCACCTATTTTGGGCTCAGGTAAATAAATGCATCATTGTCCTTCCTCTTCAAAGAGTTTACTCTCTCCAGCCTCAGTTTGTGAGCGAACATGCACACCCATGAGACAAGTGTGGCACATCGGGGTAGCCCCCTGTCTGACTCCAAAGAGAGCAGTCCTTTAGGTAAATTGTATCAGGAGGTTTGTAGTCACGATCTCTCCCGACTTTGCAGTTTTATGTGAGCATCTATTACGATAACGTGTGAAAGTCATTCATTTATTTATTCAACACTCTTTTATTGAGTACTTACTATGTTTAGGGACTTGGCTTGGCTGGAAGGAACAAAAATATTTGTAAAGACAGTTGAGACCCTCAAGAAACTTACATCGTTTATAAATCATAAGGTGCTCTACAAACCTATAGGACACTCATTAATGATGATAATCCATGCTGTTATAATGCATACTAATAAGTTATCCATATCAGAAAACATAAGTGTAGCTAAACTTTATCTTTCTAGAACCAGTACTTCTAACAAAGGACAATAGGTGGAAATTTCGAACACTGTGGGAAAAAGACCACAGAAGACATTCGAAGGAGGCAGATTTTTCTGGAACTTTTTAACTCATCCATCACAAAGTAGCTATGGTCTCGTCCTGCACACACGGCAGGACCCCACCAATGGAGCCACCTGCTAAGCTTCTCTACTCCTCAGGTCAACTGATGTCCTCTCTGTTCCTGGTCACTGTGCTAGGTGTGGAGGGCACAGAGAGAGCAGACTTCTCTACCTTCTTGGAGCTCACAGTCTAGGGGAGACAAGAGAGTAGTAAGAGGACTGTGACGGAGGGTCCCACGGGGGGCTCTCGGAGCCCAGAGTGGACACGCTTAGCCTGGGAGGATTCAAGGAAGGCTTCTTGGAGGAGGAACTCTCTGAATTGGGTTTTAACAAATGCTTAAGAGTTATCCCGTTAAAGAGAGAAGGGTGTGTAAGGAGAGCAAGTTAGAGAGTGGCAGTTTGCACAACATGAGTAACCTGGCCAAAGGCACAGAAGAGTGAAACCAGGGTCCTCCCAGGAAGCCACAAGTACTTACTGTTTGTAAATTAAATGCAATGAGTAGCCTCAGTTGGGACTGGGCAAGGGCTATGTCACGAGGGTCTTGTAGGCCAGGCTAGGAACACGGTACTCAGGAGCCAGCAGAACATTCCAAGCAGGAAAGTAAAATAGTTGGGGTTTCTAAAATTGGTCTATCCAGCGATCAACCTGGTAGGACAGTGGAAGATTTATTCATGTTTCTCAACTTGAATAACTTTTAAGGGAAAAATTTTTTTCTTGTACACTGCAAGAGCTCTTAGTGGACCAAGGTCCATGAAATTCATGATGCTTTTTTAAAATTCATTTTTATATAATTTCACACTTACAAACAAATTGTGAGACATACAAAGAACTCCCATATAACCTTTACCCAGATTCAACAATTGTTAACATATTGTTGACATTTTGCCCCATTTGCTCATTTATCAATCTATCTACCAACCTACTACAGACACACACACACACACACACACACACACACACACACACACACACACACATTCACTGAGCCATTTGAAAGGTGTTTGCAGCCTTTATTCACATTCATAATTACTCCAACGTCTATTTCCTAGAGATAAGAAATTTCTCTTTTTATAACAAATATTTATCAAAAATCAGGAAATCTGACATTGATACAATACTATTATCTAATCCAATCTTGCTAATTATCCTAATAATGACTCATAATTTTAAGAACTGTGATGTAAAAAAAGAAACCTAATTTTATGCAAATATCTTTCATTGGCAAATTATTACTGAAACAAATTAATCTTTATAATAATAAATGCTTTTGGATTATCTTAAAAGTAAAAGGACAGAATTTTAAGACCCTCCTAGAACTCATGGATTTCTGGATCCATGTTTGAGGAAAATTGTTGGAAGCCAAGGTGGAGACAGGAAGAGCTCTATTCATCATGAAAGCATAGACTGTCTTTTACTGTTCACACTAGTCAGAGCATAAGAAAGTTGAGCAGTGGGAGAGCAGAGGTCCCATCACTGTTCAGCAAAGCTAAGTACAAAAAGCCTGAAGGACCTGGGAACCAGGGAAGGGATACTGCCCATTGACACTCAAGCCAAATACAGAGCAGGAAAGGGGCGGAGAGTAAGGCCAACAATACTCCCATGCCCTGTCTCTTAGCAGGCACCAAGTCTGGGATACACAGAGAGAAAGAGAAAACATGGGGAAAAAGAAGGATGTGATTTCCATGGCTCAGTGGGAGGGCAGTTCTCTGAAATCAGAGGAAAATTTTAGTGGGTAATGTGATATTGTTAGTGGTATGTAAGAAGATATGGGCTCTAACAAAACAGAATGAAGTAATGGGAGAAGCTGAGATGAAAAGGCAACAGGGTGGGGCTTCCCTGGTGGCGCAGTGGTTGAGCGTCCGCCTGCCAATGAAGGGGATATGGGTTCGTGCCCCGGTCCGGGAGGATCCCACATGCCGCGGAGCGGCTGGGCCCGTGAGTCATGGCCGCTGAGCCTGCACGTCCGGAGCCTGTGCACCGCAACGGGAGAGGCCACAACAGTGAGAGGCCCGAGTACCGCAAAAAAAAAAAAAAAAAAAAAGGCAACAGGGTGAAATAAAAACGGAGACAGTGGAGATAGACTTGCAGGGAAACGAAAGGCGAAATTATTTATTTGTTTATTTATTCATTCATTCATTCATTCATTTTTAAAGAATTTTTTTAAAATTCACTTTGGAGGCAATAAAGGACAGAATTGAAACTGTGGAAAATAGGCTCAGTGATGGGGCAGATCTTTACTAAATTTAAAAGCCTTAGTTGTTCCAGGCACATTCAGGAGACAGAGAGAAGCATGATCACTGAGACTTTAATAAACCTCTTAGTCTTTGATGAGGGAGGCAATATAAATAAGGACAAAAGGAATGTCCAATGATAGAGCTACTTCAAAGCTTGTAAGTTTCAACAGCATTCTATCAAGCACCTATGCTGCATTACCAATGCTGAACTTAAATACGAGACCGTAATGACAAACTCAATAAATTCAGATGAGTGGAAATTATGTGGATTGAAAACATAATGCAGAACCCTTGGCATCACATTCTGGCTTACTAACTGAACCTTCGTTCCTTAATCTGTAAGACATGAGGATTAATAATACCTACCTTCTATGCATATTGTGAGGAGAAAATGAGTTTTACCAAGCTTATTATAGTGGTTGGCACATAATAAGCACTCAATACATAGTAGCTATTGGTAATTTTACTATTGTTATTATTTTTTCGTCACATCCTCTTTTTTTTTTTTTTTTTGCGGTACGCGGGCCTCTCACTGTTGTGGCCTCTCCCGTTGCGGAGCACAGGCTCCGGACACGCAGGCTCAGCGGCCATGGCTCACAGGTCCAGCCGCTCTGCGGCATGTGGGATCTTCCCGGACCAGGGCACGAACCCGTGTTCCCTGCATCGGCAGGCAGACTCCCAACCACTGTGCCACCAGGGAAGCCCTGGTCACATCCTCTTTTACCCCAAATAAAAGTTTAAAGAGAAAAATAATAAAATAGATCAGTTATGAAGATACAAAGTCTAATGGAAGGCAGCCAAAGCACTACCAATAGGTTAACTGAGACTCAAACAATTTTTTTTATTTTGTAAAAGAAAAAAAAAAGAATAATAAGAATGCAAAGAAATGATACAAAGAAATGGAAAGATACCTTGTCCTCTTGGATTGGAAGAATAAATATTGTTAAAAATGCCCACACTACCTAAAGCAATCTACAGATTTAGTACAATCTCTATCAAAATGTCCATGGCATTTTTTCAGAGAACTAGAACAAATAATCCTAAAATTCATGCAGAACTACAAAAAAGACCCTGAATTGCCAAAGCAATCTTGAGAAAAAAGAACACAGCTGGAGGTATCACCCTCCCAGACTTCAGACTACACTACAAAGCTATAGTAATTAAAACAGCATGGTACTGGCACAAACACACACACATAGATCAATGGAACAGAAGAGAAAGCCCAGAAACAAACCCATCACTTATGGTCAATTAATCTACCACAAAGGAGGTAATAATATACAGTAGAGAAAAACAGTGTCTTCAGTAAGTTACTGGACAGCTATATGTAAAGCAATGAGATTAGAACATTTCCTCACACTGTATACAAAAACAAACTCAAAATGGATTAAAGACCTAAATGTATGACATGATACCATAAAATTCCTAGAAGAGAACATAGGTAGAACACTCTTTGACATAAATCATAGCAATATTTTCTTGGATCTGTTTCCCAAGACAAAAAAAGCAAAAATAAACAAATTGAATCTAATTAAACTTAAAAGCTTTTGCACAGCAAAGGAAACCATCGACAAAATGAAAAGACAACCTACAGATGGGAGAAAATATTTGCAAATGACATGACTGGCAAAGGGTTAATATCCAACATATATGAATAGTTCATACAACTCAATGTCAAAAAAACAACCCAGTCAAAAAATGGGCAGAAGACCTGAATAGACATTTTTTCCAAAGAAGACATACAGATGGCTAATAGGCACATGAAAAAATGTTCAATGTTGCTAATTATTAGAGAAATGCAAATCAAATCCACAATGAGGTATCACCACACACCTGTCAGAATAGCTATCATCAAAAAAGTCTACAAATTACAAATGATGGTGAAGATGGAGAGAAAAGAGAACCCTTGTACACTGTTGGTGGGAATGTAAATTGGTGCAGCCACTATGGAAAACAATATGGAGGTGCCTCAAAAAACTGAAACTAGAACAACCATATGATCCAGCAATTCTACTCCTGGGTATATATCTGGAAAAACCAAAAACACTAATTTGAAAAAATACATGCACCCCAATGTTCATAGCAGCACTATTTACAATAGCCAAGATATGGAAACGACCCAAGTGTCCATCAACAGACAAATGGATAAAGAGGATGTGGGGAAAAAAATATGTATGTATACATACACACACACACACACACACAATGGAATATTACTTGAGCATAAAAAGAATGAAATTCTGCCACTTGCAGCAACATGGATGGATCTAGAGAATACTATGCTTAGTGAAATAGGTCAGAGAAAGACAAATACTGTATCACTCATATGTAGAATCTAAAAAGTAAAACAAACTAATGTATAAAGCAAAACAGAAACAGACTCACAGATATAGAAAACAAACTAGTGGTTACCGGTGGAAGAGGAAAAGGGGGAGAAGCAAGGTGGGATTAAAAGGTACAAACTACTATGTATAAAATAGATAAGCAACAAGGATATAGTGTACAGCACAGGGAATTATAGCCATTATCTTGTAATTACTTTTAATGAAGTATAATCTGTAAAAATACTGAATCGTTCTGCTATACACCTAAAACTAATATGATATTTATAAATTAACTATACTTCAATTTAAAAAAATAAATAATAAGATTAAAACAAATGTTAGGAAAACACAAGGAATAAAATGGCAGAGATAAAAGCAGAAATCACTTTTTTAAAAAATAGCATAAAATTAGTATAATTTTGGAGGTGAAACAGCAAAATATATTCACTACTTATAAATTTAAGTTTTAAAAAGATGGAGACATATGCATACTTCTATATAACAGGGCTGAATACTGTAAAAATGTTACTTTTTCCCAGATTAGTTTATCAATTTATTAAAAACCCAATCAATATGCTGATGGGACTATTTTTGGGAAATTGGCAATGTAATTACAAGGTTCATCTGAACAGGTGAGAGTAGCTAAGAACGTTTTGAAAACATTCTAATAATATTAAATTCATCAGAACAGTCTAGATTCAGAAGAAAAGCTATTTTGAGAGCAGAGTGACATCAGTATGAAAAGGACCTTATTCAACCTGATACCTTATTAAAGTACTAATTGTCATTAATCTGGAATTCACACCTACTCAGCCCCAGCTCTAGATATTTTTGCCTCTTTAATGCCCAGACCTCCAAATCAAACAACAGAAAGAGAGGTTGAAAATAAATTGCTCAATGTCCCTCAACGAGCCCAGAAAAACAGTGAAACCCTAAACCATAAATATCTCTGGATCTTATTCAAGTGGAATCATATGTGTTTACTGAATTTTGTTATTTATTTTAAAAAATCTATTTTAATCGCAAAAGGGATTTGGCATGCACAAGCCGTTTCAAATCCTTTTGGTTATTTTCAGTCCATAGGTTTTTCTCATCTTCAGGCTTGGAAGATTGGGAAGGTCGTGTTCAAATTTTAACTTTATTGTTCAAGGACAAACACTACCATTTGTAAACAATTTCTAAAGTGACCGCTAGAATGCTTCTCAAGTAGGTTTTGTTTTATACTTAAGGTCTAAAAATAAAGCAGGTTGCTTTCATCCACCATCTGAAGGAAAGGATAGGAGTTTTGATGATCGGGGGTGTGGCTTGGTGAAACTGCTGAGTGGGATTGACTAGGCTCAGGAAGCCTGGGGCTAGCAGAATAAAGGTGAGACAGAATGCACAAGTTCCCTCCAACCTTCCTAAAATTACAGGTGTTATACGGAAAGATGGGGAGTCTCAAAGTCTGGGGGAGTAGTACAACAACCAAATGTTAGTATCAGTGCTGATTTCAAATACTCCGGACCGTAACCAGGCCATGGGTTAAAGAAAATGTGTCCTAGAGTCAAAAAGACCATGAAATTAGCCCCAGCTCCTCCACTTGCTAGCAGTCTAATGTTAAACAAGTCCCTTAAACACAGACTCCCAAGTTCCTGGTCTCTATATCAGGTATTACACAGATCTAGACAAATGGTAGCCAATATTACTTGGTATAAAAGACTTCGGTCATGGTAAGTCTAAGTTTCTCAGCACAGGGTGGTAGAAAATGAGTTGAAAATACATAGGTGTGATAGGCAAAAGGAATTCTAACAGGTGAAGTATGGGGTATAATGTTTTCACTGTATGCATGTGATGGGGCAGGAAGAGAGAATTTAAAAATTATATGACGTACACTATGGGGGAAAACTATACATATTAATGCTGGTTTAAAAATACTAATAAACCCACAGAAGAGAAAATCCATAGGAGTCTGGTGTAAAGAAGAAAAGGCAGGTAGAGTGGATGGTCCAGAGAAGCGCTGGCAAGTCAGCTTTGGGAGAAAGAAAGGATGCTGACGCTAAAACATCCAGCCTTTGAGAAGCCAGTTAGGACATCATTCCTGTGTGCTAGGGAGGACACAGAGTCGTGGGGATGAAGGAGAAGATGGCATGAGGTCAGGGGGTCCTGCTGCACCTGGGTGACCTCTGTCTGGTGGCTCCCATGCACGTGGGAAGGCGCGAACAACCTTGAGCAATGGGAGAGAGTCAGGCATAGACCAAAGGGTCTCCGCGAACTCAAGTACAAAATTTATAACCATGAGCACAAACATGCTTACGCTCTTTATGCTTATGCCCATGCAGATCATTAGATGAAATAAATTGGTATTGACACCAAGTAAAGCTTACAATAGCACTGAACTTTCAACTCTCTTCCAGTAGATTCCTTATCTTTCCCAATTTGTGGCTCATCTATTTACAACTTAAAGAGATTAGAAGGATATTGATGACAACAGAATGAGTGTTGAGTAAGTGGAAGAAAGGGCTCTACCTCACGCTTTGTAAAAATGATTATATGATTGAGCAGGCTATAAAGCCACTGGCTCGATCTGAGGTTTATAGAAACAGGACTTTTAACCATACAGAAGTAGCTTTTAGCATCCATTATGCAAAGGTACCAAGACCTTAGCTCACATGAATCAACAGAGTTGACTGGGAGGTGTGGGAAAGATGGAGGGATAAGGAATTTGTTATGAAAATTCATGAGTATCTTTAATCAGAGATGGAACTAACTCTGCCCTTTCCTGGATCAGCAAAAAAGAAGCTTTGTCTCCATATCTGTGTCCCACAGAGAGGAAGAAGAAAGAGAGACAGGATAGCATTAAAGAAGGCAAGAGAGGGCCAAGATAGCCAAGCTCTCTTTCCTCCACACTTTGAAGTTATTCTTATTTTATTTATTTTTTTTGGCGGTACGTGGGCCTCTCGCTGCCGTGGCCTCTCCCGTTGCGCAACACAGGCTCCAGACGCGCAGGCTCAGCGGCCACGGCTCATGGGCCCAGCTGCTCCGCGGCATGTGGGATCTTCCCGGACCGGGGCACAAACCCGTGTCCCCTGCATCGGCAGGCGGACTCTCCACCACTGCGCCACCAGGGAAGCCCTGAAGTTATTCTTAAATAAACTTGAGCAAGACAAGCCACACTATGTGCCATGGAAGACACACTGACAAAGCACATGTTTTATTTGACTGATTATTTCCCATTCGTGATAGAAATCTAGCAGAGAGACCCCAATGGGTCCCCTTGTTGAGAACCTAGGGCAGTTAATCTTTTTAAAGCTCAAATTCCTCCCAGAATATTCCAGGCATCCTGGAGTGAGGGCGTCTCATGTGAATTCTATGCATTAGTTATCTTGGTTACACAGCACAGTTTTACTTTTCCTATTCATTGGATGATGCCAGATTGCGTCAACTCCAAAAGGAACATCTAGGCATGAATTCTCCACCTGGGTCCCCACTGAGGCTGCCACTAGCTGATGTCTGATTTGAAGGCCTAACTGTCTGAGCAAAGGAGTTTTCCTGTGGCACTTCTGAAGTCCCTGGTGCTATCTTCCACCATTGCAGAGCTGCTGGGACCAGTATGGCGGTGTCTTGTGTTCTCAGAGCCCTGTGGCGATAATGATGAAAAACTCTGGGAGGCTTGACTTGCTCTTTTATTGCAGAGCTCAGCCATGAGCACCTGGGGTCCGAGCCAGGAGGGGATGGTTTGTGTGACAGATGACTTACTCCACTCAGCTGCAGTTCCCCGGCACAATGAGATGAAAAAAATGCTATCCTCTTAGTAGCTGATACAAGAATTTATCTTAGGAAGAGACTTGCCTTTTTGAGAAAAATGCCGTGATAAGCTCACGTGTGTAGTCAATTCCTTTGAAGCATAGCTGTTCTCTGGTGCCAAGGTTTCAGAGAAAGAGCCAGAGTTACTCTGCTTAAGAAAGCAAACCTTATTTATCTATGTGTTTATTTTGTCTTGGAGATGGGAAAGAGGAGAGTAAAAAGGAGGAAGAATCAGATAAGATGGTGGGAGATCGTGGGTTACACACTGGGATTCTTCTTCACTAATATTATTAAAAACCGTAAAATGCTTGGTTTGCTTGGCTTTCTTACGGAAACCAGTGAATGGGGCCGACCTTGTGTATATGCTGAGTCTGGGCAAAACAGAGGCCACAGAAACAGATAAAGGAAGGGGAGACAGGCCAGTTGCCATCTGCATAGCTAGAGCAGGTCCGTTGTCTGAAATCAAACCTGTGCCGACTACCTGGTCCTTGATTATACAAACTGAGTCCAAGGGGATGTGCCCCATCAGGGCCCAGGACGAGCTCAACAGGTTTGTAGGTCAGGGTAGGTGCAGCTTAGGAACTACAGAACGATCCAGGCACTACTGAAAATGGAAGCAAAACAGACCTCCTCTGAGCAACAAGCACCTCCTCTGACCTTTGTAGTTCTGTCTTCTTCCCTCTTCCAGGAGGGGCCTCTATAGGCTCAGAGGAGTCTTGGCACCTGGACAGCTGCCGGTAACTAAATCTCTCCCGTTTCCAGTAAGACCTCTACCTCTGCCCCAGTTTTCCCTTCTATTCCATTTCCTGCCACTCCATGCATTCCACACGCATTCAGTGAGCACCTACTCTGTGCCTAATGCTTCAGCAGGCTCTGGGCATACAGAGGTAAACAACACACAGTCTATGGGAAACAAATGCTCGATTTCTCTGCACCATTGGTGGGCCGAGCTCCAGGGGACTGACCCCTTATTCCGCCTTGCCTTTTGAGCACACTGTTGAAAATACAATGCTTTCGTCTAAAGAGGTTTTAATCATTTCCTCATCTTCAAGCTCAGTCTATCACAGAGATGAGTTTTGATTCTAGCATTTCTCACACAATTTCATTATTTTCTTATATGCAGGTGCCTCCTGTGTCGGTTTTCTATTGCTGCTGAAACAGATTACCACTAACGTAATTGCTGAAAGCAACACAAATTTATTCTCTTACCGGTCTGGAGGTCGGTGTGGCTGTGTTACTTCTGGAGGTTTTGGAGAGAATCCTTCTTTTTCACCTTTTCCAGCATCTAGAGGCTGCCATATTCCTTGGCTCATGGCCCAGCAACACTCCGACCTCTGCTTCCATCATCACATGACCTTTATGACTCTGACCCGCCTGCCTCCCTTATATATGGACGCTTTTGGTTAATTAGACCCACCTGGCTAATTCAGGCTACTCTCCTTATCTCATGAGCCTCAATTTAATCACACCTGCAAAATCCCTTCTATCACTTAAGGCAACATATTCACAGGTTCTGGGGATTAAGATGTAGGCATCGTTAGGGGGCTATTATTTGCCCCACCACATTCCCCCAGTATAAAAAAGACTAAAAAAATTTTTTTAAATAAAATTAAAAAATAAAAGAGACTGCCTTTGTCACCCTGCCTCTTCTGGAGCTGTGCTCCATCTCACAATGTCAGGTCCACAGCGGTCTAGGGGTGGAAGACCAGTCTCCACAAGATGTTGGGGGGTCATCTTGGACATGAGGTGCAACTGAGGATTAAAAATGATAAAATCCGCTCCTCTTAAAATTAATTAATTAATTTAACAAACACTTACAAAGAGCCTACCTTATATAGATGCTGTTCTGAGGCCTGGGGGAAATAGCAATGAGTGAAACAGAGGAGTCTTTGATACCATAGGGCTGATGAACTAGGAAAAAAAATACAGAGGCTTTTTCAATGTCATATATCATTAGGGAATTGCAAATTAAAACAACAACAAGATATCATACACATCTATTAGAATGCTAAAATCCAAAACACTGACAATACCAAATGCTGGTGAGCATGTGTAGCAATAGGAATTCTCACTCGTTGCTGGTGGGAGGGCAAAATGATACTGCCACTTTGGAAGACAGTTTGGTAGTTTTTTACAAAGTTAACCATATGCTTACTGTATGATCCAACAATCATGCTCCTTGGTATTTTCCCAAATGAGTTGAAAATTATATCCACATAAAACCCTGCACACAAATGTTTATAGCATCTCTATTCATAATTGCCCCAAACTGCAAGCAACCACAATGTCCTTCAATAGGTGAATGGATAAACAAACTGTGATCCATTCATACAATGAAATATTATTCAGTGATTTAAAAAAGATAAATGAGCTATTAAGCCACCAAAATGACATGGGGGAATCTTAAATGCATATTGCTAAGTAAAAGAAGCCAATCTGAAAGACTACATATTGTATGATTCCAACTGTATGACATTCTGGAAAAGACAAAACTACAGAGACAGAACAGAGATCAGTGGTTACCAGGGATTTGGGGGAGGGAGGAGAGATGAATGCATGGAGCACAGGGATTTTTAGGGCAGTGGAACTATTTGTATGATACCACATGGTGGATAGATAACATGTAACGGTGGATACATGACCTTATGCATTTGTCAAAACCCATAGAATTGTACAACACAAAGATAAACCCTAATGTAAACTATGAACTTTATGTACCTTCTGCTCAATTTTTCTGTAAACCTTAAACTGTTCTAAACATAAAGTCTGGTCATTTGAAAAGGCATAGTATGTTGGATGATGTTGTGTGCTATGAAGAAAAATAAAGCAACACAAAGGTATAGAAGTAATGGTATGGTATGGTATGGTATGGTGTGGTGTGGTGTGGTGTGGTGTGGTGTGTGTGTGTGTGTGTGTGCAAACTATTTTATATTTTAGATGGTTAGGGATGACCTCACTGATGCTTGAGAAGTCTTAAAAAAGTGATGGTGCAAGTCATACAAACTTCTGGTGTAAAAAAAAAAAAACCCTTACAGATCAAGGGAAGCAAGTGCAAAGGCCTTGTGGCTGGCATGTGCTTGGTGTGTTTGGTGTCAGTGTGGCTGGAGTGGATGAGCTGGAAGAGACAGCAGGGGTGGGGTGGGGGAGGACCATGTCATGGAGCACCTTGCAGGCCACTATGGAGAACTGGGATTTTACCCCGAGGGAGATGGGAGCCCCTGGGGGATGATGAGCAGAGGAGAGACACGGTCTGATTTATTTTTGAGAAATTTCCTCTCGGAGGAGCTTCAAGATGGTGAAAGAGTAAGAAGTGGAGATCACCTTCCTCCCCACAAATACATCTGGAATACATCTACACGTGGAACTGCTCCTACAGAACACCTCCTGAACACTGGCAGAAGACCTCAGACCTCCCAAAAGGCAAGAAACTCCCCACGTACCTGGGTAGGGCAAAAGAAAAAAGAAAAAACAGAGACAAAAGGATAGGGACGGGACCTGCACCAGTGGGAGGGAGCCGTGAAGGAGGAAAAGTTTCCACACACTAGGAAGCCCCTTTGCGGGCGGAGACTGCTGGGGGCGGAGGGTGGAAGCTTCGGAGCCGCGGAGGAGAACGCAGCAACAGTGGTGCGGCGGAGGGAAAAGCGGAGAGTTTCCCGCACAGAAGATCCGTGCCGACCGGCACTCACCAGCCCGAGAGGCTTGTCTGCTCACCCTCCGGGGCGGGCGGGGCTGGGAGCTGAGGCTTGGGCTTCGTTCGGAGCGTAGGGAGAGGACTGGGGTTGGCGGCGTGAACACAGCCTGAAGAGGCTAGCGCACCACAGCTAGCCGGGAGGGAGTCCGGGAAAAGTCCGGAGCTGCCGAAGAGGCAAGAGACTTTTTCTTCCCTCTTTGATTCCTGGTGCGCGAGGAGAGGGGATTCAGAGCGCCACCTAAAGGAGCTCCAGAAACGGGCACGAGCCGCGGCTAACAACGTGGACCCCAGAGACGGGCAGGAGACGCTAAGGCTGCTGCTGCCGCCACCAAGAAGCCTGTGTGCGAGCACAGGTCACTCTCCACACCTCCCTTCCGGGGAGCCTGTGCAGGCCGCCACTGCCAGGGTCCCGTGATCCAGGAACAACTTACCGGGGAGAACGCACGGCGCGCCTCAGGCTGCTGCAACGTCACGCCTGCGTCTGCCGCCGCAGGCCCGCCCCGCACTCCGTGCCCCTCCTTCCCCCCCGGCCTGAGTGAGCCAGAGCCCCCGAATCAGTGGGTCCTTTAACCCCGTCCTGTCTGAACGAAGAACAGACGCCCTCAGGCGACCTACACGCAGAGGCGGGGCCAAATCCAAAGCTGAACCGTGGGAGCCGTGCGAACACAGAAGAGAAAGGGAAATCTCTCCCAGCAGCCTCAGGAGCAGCGGATTAAATCTCCACACTCAACTTGATGTACCCTGCATCTGTGGAATACCTGAATAGACAACGAATCATCCCAAATTGAGGAGGTGGACTTTGGGAGCAACGATATATTTTTTTTCCCCTTTTTCTCTTTTTGTGAGTGTGTATGTGTATGCTTCTGTGTGAGATTTTGTCTGTATAGATTTGCTTTTACGCATTTGTCCTAGGGTTCTGTCTGTCCGTTTTTTTTTTTTTAGTATAGTTTTTAACTCTTGTTATCATTGGTGGATTTGTTTTTTGGTTTGGTTGCTCTCTTCTTTCTTTCTTTCTTTTTTATATTTTTTTATTACTTAAAATTTTTTTATATTTAAAAATTATTTTTTACTTTTTATTTTAATAACTTTATTTCATTTTATTTTATTTTTTCTTTCTCTCTTTCTTTTTTTCTCCCTTTTATTCTGAGCCATGTGGATGACAGGGTCTTGGTGCTCTGGCCGGACGTCAGGCCTGTGCCTCTGAGGTGAGAGAACCAAGCTCAGGACATTGGTCCACCAGAGACCTCCCAGATCCACGTAATATCAAACGGCGAAAGCTCTCCCAGAGATATCCATCTCAACACGAAGACCCAGCTCCATTCAATTACCAGCAAGCTACAGTGCTAGACACCTTATGCCAAAACAACTAGTAAGACAGGAACACACCCCACCCATTAGCAGAGAGGCTGCCTAAAATCATAATGAGGTCACAGACACCCAAAAACACACCACCGAACGTGGACCTGCCCACCAAAAAGACAAGATCCAGCCTCATCCACAGGAACACAGGCACCAGTCCCCTCCACTAGGAAGCTTACACAACCCACTGAACCAACCTTAGCCACTCGGGGCAGACACCAAAAACAACGGGAACTACGAACCTGCAGCCTGAGAAAAGAAGACCCCCAAACAAAGTAAGTTAAGCAAAATGAGAAGAAAGAGAAGCACACAGCAGATGAAGGAACGAGGTAAAAACCCACCAGACCAAAGAAATGAAGAGGAAATAAGCAGTCTACCTGAAAAATAAGTGAGAATAATGATAGTAAAGATGATCCAAAATCTTGGAAATAGAATGGAGAAAATAAAAGAAACGTTTAACAAGGGCCTAGAAGAACTAAAGAGCAAACAAACAATGATGAAAACACAATAAATGAAATTTAAAATTCTCTAGAAGGAATCAATAGCAGAATAAGTGAGGCAGAAGAATGGATAAGTGACCTGGAAGATAAAATAGTGGAAATAACTACTGTAGAGCAGAATAAAGAAAAAAGAATGAAAAGAATTGAGGACAGTCTCACAGACCTCTGGGACAACATTAAATGCACCAACATTCGAATTATAGGGGTCCCAGAAGAAGAAGAGAAAAAGAAAGGGTCTGAGAAAATACTTGAAGAGATTATAGTTGAAAACTTCCCTAATATGGGAAAGGAAATACTTAATCAAGTCCAGGAAGCGCAGGGAGTCTGATACAGGATATATCCAAAGAGAAACATGCCAAGACACATATTAATCAAGCTATCAAAAATTAAATACAAAAAAATATATTAAAAGCAGCAAGGGAAAAGCAACAAATAACATACAAGGGAATCCCCATAAGGTCAACAGCTAACCTTTCAGCAGAAACTCTGCAAGGCAGAAGTGGGTGGCAGGACATATTTGAAGTGATGAAAGGGAAAAACCTACAACCAAGATTACTCAACCTAGCAAGGAGCTCATTCAGATTCAACAGAGAAATTAAAACCTTTACAGACAAGCAAAAGCAAAGAGAATTCAGCACCACAACAAATGCTAAAGGAACTTCTCTAGGCAGGAAACACAAGAGAAGGAAAAGAGCTACAATAACAAACCCAAAACAATTAAGAAAATGGTAATAGGAACATACATATCAATAATTATCTTAAATGTAAATGGATTAAATGCTCCAATCAAAAGACATAGACTGGCTGAATGGATACACAAACAAGACCCGTATATATGCTGTCTACAAGAGACCCACTTCAGACCTAGGGACACATACGGACTGAAAGTGAGAGGATGGAAAAAGATACTCCGTGCAAATGGAACTCAAAAGAAAGCTGGAATAGCAATTCTCATATCAGAAAAAATAAACTTTACAACAAAGACTATTACAAGAGACAAAGAAGGACACTACATAATGATGAAGGGATCAATCCAACAAGAAGATATAATAATTGTAAATATTTATGCACCCAACATAGGAGCACATCAATACATAAGGCAAATGCTAACAGCCATAAAAGGGGAAATCGACAGTAACACAATCATAGTAGGGGACTTTAACACCCCAATTTCACCCATGGACAGAGCATCCAAAATGCAAGTAAATAAGGAAACACAAGCTTTAAATGATACATTAAAAAAGATGGACTTAATTGATATTTATGGGACATTGCATCCAAAAATAACAGAATACACTTTCTTCTCAAGTGCTCATGGAACATCCTCCAGGATAGATCATATCTTTGGTCACAAATCAAGC